CTACATATTGTAGTTTCCCCTTTTAGATGGTTTGTCAATGCCAATTTTAAATGTCCTGTTGAGCACAAATGTTTACTTCCATCAGTGAATATTCCAGCTGTAGTTTGCCACCATCCATCAACTCTCCATTTCACCATTGTCCCCTTTTCCTTCATCAAGGAAGGGAGTTGGAGGTCTATTTTGGAAACTCTACCAACTCCCATAGGAAAAAGTTCATATTTCTTATTATGTCATATGATTTATCTAATTTAGTCATTTTAAGCTTCAAAACTGCCTATTTCTTAACTATCCTGTGTTCTTTATCTTGGAGTTTACTAAGATTAATTTACTACAATCCTGTGTGTGGGAGGTAGGACAGAATAAGGAAAGGTTGTTAATGGAGTGGTTCATAAGCATTGGTCTTAAGGCTTGGTCTGTGATACATTCGAGCCAGTTATGGGTGGGCCAGAGGATTACTCTGGTTTTCAAAACTCTAAGGAAATCTTTAATGTGGATTATTATGAAGAAGGCTTACTCCTTTTGGAGTCCCACAGAGATTTTCTTGGAAAAACTAGAAAAACCCTGAGAAAAGCCAGACTTTTAGAGTTCCAGAGTATAACTAAACCCTTAGGACTTCCTTCAAAGCATCTGGATGTTGTGAGAGTTTGTTTGGGCTTAAGATTTTGTCTAGGAGCCCTACAGCTTCTCCTTTATTCCTTCTTGTTTCTGATTCCTATTTCATATGAAGAATAAAGTTTATAACATAAAGAACTCTTGAAATCATGAACAGATACAGGCAGACAATTCTTATATTTGAAGGAAGGAAGAAATTTCAAAGATCTAGAAATTCTTTTTGGAAGTTAAAACTATGAGTTACCTGAATAAAGACTCTCCAGTTACTGTGTGTATCTCTGTTAGGAATGGAAAAAAGCTGAGAGATAAGTGGTTTGGATGTAGCATCTGAATCCGTGAGTTCTGTGCTTTATCAACAGGCTACAACACTGCAAATTACTCCAAGGAAAATATGCACATATACTGGCAAATGTATCCTTTATTACTCATGAGGTTTAAATTCTAAATCCCTTTTGCAAATCTTTGCTGAGCTAGGTATTCTTTTTGCCTAGTATGAAAAATGACTTAGGACCTGGAACCAACGAAGTCAAATGGCCTCTTTGGGCCCATTCCTTTCACTCAGCACCAGAATTTCAAATTCGTACATTTTACCAGTCTGAGAAAGTGTATCCTAGCTATGAGAGGAAGCACAAGCTGAAAACTAGAGAGAAAGCTTTTACCCCTATACCTGGAATAAGCTGGTCTAGTTTATTCGTGACAGACCCTGCTGGGCTGAAGAAGAAGCCCTTGAGCCTTACAGAGCCAGTGAATAAGCTGGAGTGGAAACAGAAGCTTCTAATGGAGCTCAGTCTCACCCATATTGTTTTTGCTCACCCGTCTTGTTTTTCTCACCTTCAACTTTTCTGTGCTTCTTGAAAGGCAGCACATCTCAAAAGATCGTCCTTGAAATGGTTCAGACCTTGGGTCCTTTCCAACTCCTAGAAAAACTTTTCCTCTCACTCCCAAGTCCACTCTAATACAACAGGCTATGCAGTGTGATCCTGGATCCTAAACTATCCTTAGCAGAGGAAAGCAAGACTCTCCCTGAAGACCACTATAGCTAATTTTTCTTACTATTGAGTAATTCATCACCAGGACTGGCTTAGAACTTTTTGAAGGATGGGGAATTTTCCTAGTATTTTGGCACTTTAGCCAGTGTGTAAAATGGTCAAAGCCTCATGGGATTCAGTCATTTCTTATTTCCTGGTCTCGTTTGCTAATGGTGGTTTGCTCCACCTAAGATAACTGCCATTTTTCAGGTTTGTTTTCAAGTTGAATTGTTACAATGACATGCAATCTGAACATTAATGCACTTCCTATCGTGTAAGGTTTTTATTTTTTTTTAAAGAAATTTCAGTATTCTGTTTTACAGGTGAAATATTTCTTTAATATTGGAAAGAGTACTGTTTTAAAAATTGTGTTGAAGTTTCTTACATGTATGGAAAATATTATATGAATATAGAATTATAATAGCTTTTATAATTTTATGTCCACATCTCTGAGGGAATATAGAAAAGCTGGGATTGGAGTTTATTGATCTACTTACTTCTAAAGTGCTAAAAACTTGTATCTGAATTATTTTAGCATTTTGCAAAGATGGCTGTAGGAATGGAGGAGCCTGTATTGCTGCTAATGTATGTGCCTGCCCACAAGGCTTCACTGGACCCAGCTGTGAAACGGGTAAGAATATCATTTCATCTTCTAGAAAATGAATTTTTATGCCAATGCATAAAGTAATCCATGAGGAAAATAATGTTTCGAGTTTCAAGTGCGCTCTCAAAGCATGGAGCTGTTAATAAGGAAGTGTTAGGAGGGAGGAAGTGGGAAGTTTCAGTGATGCCTATTCATTCACTGGGCAATTCCCATATGCTCTCCAAAGAGGTTTTGTAGCTATTATATAACTAGACACATATGCACTCCAAAGAGGTTTTGTAGCTATTATATAACTAGACACATATGCACTCCAAAGAGGTTTTGTAGCTATTATATAACTAGACACATATGCACTCCAAAGAGGTTTTGTAGATATTATATAACTAGACACATATTCAACTTTTTCATAAGAATGTGTGGGATTACCAGGAGTTCATGACGTCATAATTCATTTCACTTACTGGAAGCCCATTTTTACTGAAATTTATATGACTATATTAAAATATAGGGTTCAAGCTTATGGACAACTCAGTTCCTAGGACACACTACCTCCCACATCCACATTTGAGAATATTTGACAAATTTTTATCTGTCCCATTCAGTATTCATTCATTGTTGTTTATTTAGAAAGTATTTAAAGTTTTCTATGCCTTAATTATTTCTCATTCAAGTCCATTCAGAATTTATTCTTCCTGATAGATACTAATACTAGAAACTTTAAAAATTATTTTTAAAACAATACATAGTCTGTGTATAGCCCATGACCCAAAGTAACATGCTTCGTAAGGTGAATGACATCCCTGGGAATAAAAAAAGTGTTTTAAGTATTAGCTCCTAATTAAAATCATATCAGTAATAGTTGTGGTTGCTGGTAAATGTGTTCCAATTCCAGATGACCTCAGAAAGTCTGGTTATTTTCCCTAAGAGAAAGCTGCTGCCACTGGTGATTGACCATTGTCATCCCATATTGCTTTCCATAAATCTCAGTGTAATAGATGCAGCACATGCTCTGCCTCCATTGTACTTGCAGAGTCATCTGGTTTAAAAGAAACACTGACTGATCAGAATATAAGGCAGAAAATGTTCTGCTCCATTTAGGAAGTGAAAATTTTACTGAGAAGATACTGCCACTGTGCATAGAAGAATGCTCACAAAAGGGATTCACATCACTAGATCATCTTTCTCTATAAATACCTCCAAGTGGTATTTTTCAAACTTCAGTGATTAATTGATTTCAAAGGTTTCTAATAGAGAATGCATAGTGACTATCTTTGGTGTGTGGGATTACTTCCTAAATCGGGAGTTCCCCAAACTCATTGTCCATGTGAGTCACCTATAGGGCTTGTTAACTTGTTAAAAACAGATTTTTGGTAATTAACTATCATAAGATTTGCTAGAACAATATCAGGTGCCTCTGATGTAATGGTCTTCCAATCTTTTCATCCCATGATCTCCACCAGTACACCCACACACATCAAGGTGCACTGTGGACCTCCTGTATATCAACACCCGTGATGACCAGCTTTTCTGAATACAGTATTTTGTGTGATTCTAGTGCAGAGTCTAGATACTGAAATACCGGCTTTTTCAGCACATTTCAATGATGTGAGGATAATGGTGTGGAATTTTGAATAAAGGCTGTCGCAGAAAATCTGGCATGAGTAATAGCCATGCTCAATCCTGCACATCATTCTTCCACTAGAACATAAAAATCCTATGAAGAGATTGTGAAAATCTGGAGTGGCAAAGAATTAATCTTAGCTATGTAATGTTTAAGACTGGAGTTAAAAATAACCCAACAGAATATTTAGCTCTATTTAATTATCTTTGAACTTTCAGTCCATAAGAAGACAATCCCAGACTGACTCTAAGTAGGTATCTGTAGCAGCCAAGAGCTTTCAGAAGAACACATGTGGGCTCAAAATCTGGTTCTGCTGTTTGCTATGTGGCCTTGGCAAGTTACTTAACTTCTCAGGGTCTTGTACCTTCCACACATCACCTTACTCTTCACAACTCTCTTCCAAAGTAGCTATTATCTCCATTTACATATAAAAATATTGGGTTCAGAAGTAATTACATTTTTTCCTCTAAAGTCACAAAATTAGCAGCCAAATACAAAGGTCTTTCTACTCCCAAACCCAGGCTTTTTATCTAGTGCTTCCAAATATGTTTCTTTGGAGACCTTAAATCCTAGGACCCCAAACCAGACTCTCCTTCATGAATCTTGCCTCCTTTCCTCCTCCACCAAAACCTGATTTTTCACTTCTGTTCTTTATTTCAGTGAATAGCAGCATTATTCACCAAGTTCGCCAAGCCAGTAGTCAGGAAGTCATCTTCCTCTTGCCCCTCACCCCCACGTCTAGTCAAGTCCTTTTGATCCCATCTCTTTACCAGGGCTCATTTCTTTCCATTCTGGCTGTCACTACAGTAGTTCAGGGCTCTCAGGTTTGTCTCTCTCCAGTCCAGTCTCCACAGAATATCAGAGCACAAATATGATCATATCACCCCATACCGAAAAAACATTTGGCGTCCCCCATTACCCTCAGGATAAAGACCACATTTTTAAACATGATATATATGGCCCTTCAAGATTTGGCCCCTGCCCCACTCAGCTGTATCCTCTTGTCCCTCTGCCTCCCTCCTCATTCCCACCTCTAGGCACTGAGCTTCATGAGGGCACAGAGTGTATCTTGTTCACTTTTGTATCCTTGAGACACAGTATAAGACCTGCACCTTAGTAGATGTTTCAGAAATATTTGGTGAATAAATAAATGTATAAATGAGTGATCAATTAAATGATGAGAAAAAAATATGGTGTTGTATTAGTTTTTGTGTTGCTATAAACAGAATACCTAAAGCTGGGTAATTTATAAAGAAAAGAGGTTTATTTGGCTCACAATTCTGGGACAGCTGCCTCTGGCATGGGTCTCAGGTTGCTTCTGCTCCTGGTGGAAAACAGCAGGGCAGCCAGTGGATGCAAGGAGATCACCTGGTGAGAGAATGCAGGAGACAGAGGGAGGGGAGGTGCCAGGGTCCATTAAACAACCAGCTCTTGTGAGAATTAATAGAGCAAGAATTTACTCACTACCTGCCCCCCAGAACATTAATCTATTCATAAGAGATCCATCCCCATGACCCAAATCTTTCTAAACACTGCCACATTGGGGATCAGATTTCAACATGATCTTTGGAGGAACAAACATATCCAAACTATATCAGTGTAGTTGCTTCCATAATTGATGGACGTTTTTGAACGTTTGTTAAAGAAGCCCTCAGTGTTGTCTTGTACTGTACTACTCTCATATGGCAGATGAAGTAATTAAGGCACAGGGAGGTGAAGTAACTTACGTAAGGTGTTTCATTGTAGATCCAGATTTGTAATCTAGAGCGCAGGTCTTCTGCTTCCTAGTTCAGTCTTCCTTCCTTCCTTTTCTTTTTTTCCAATGCATGCTCTCTGCCCAGAAATTCATCATACTATCATCTTTCATCAGGTCTGTGCTTTTCACGATGCCCCCACCTTCAACTGCCAAATAATCCTGTTGTCTTTGACAGTGAGGACTGTGGCAGTTTTTCTCTCCCAATTTAAGGAAAGCATCAGGATTGTCAAGATTTCCAAGTGTACTAATGGCCTAAATTTGGCCTGCTGGAGTTGGATGCTGCCTGATAGCTTAAAAACAAGATTCACCTGTGGCCCCAGTGGCCATCTGTTGAGCACTCATGATGGAATCACTGAGGATTTACTTGCTTCTTGAAAGACAATCTTAATGTGCATGACATTTACCAATCCTTGTTACTTTAGTTGAGAAAGTCTCCCCTGAACTCGCTCTCATTTAGTCTGTTTCTGCATCAAGTGCAGTAGGAATGGTTGAATTCATTTACCAACTCCACAAAAGGGCTATGTGAATGCTTTTTATTGAGCAAAATTAATTTTTCATGGACTTCCTTTTAGCCACTGAATAAAATCACCCACATGTACAGCATAACTCCGTTTTTAATTAAACATCCTAATATTCCATCAGGTGTTTAACTTAGATTTAGCAGGGTGATTATTTCTTGGGTAACTCAATAAAATGCATTAGAAATTTACGTGCTGAGGTTTAACAGTTTTATCACTGCCATGCTATATTTATTATACAATTGCTAAACCTCAGCAAACATTTTTCTGATGATATAATTAATATGCAAAGCTGTCTTATACTAAATGTAAATCTTTCAGTAATGATTTAAAGTATGACTATAAAAGATTTGACAGTCCGCTATCAGCAACTGATGACTTAAATCAAATTTAAATATTTATAACAGGAAAAAAGTTGGTAACAAATGGCAAAGCTGAAAAAAAAATATGCTGCAATATCAAAGAAGAGATCAGACATTTTAGTGATAAATACTTCATTTTTTCCCTATATGTAAAATAATGGATTTCTTACCCACAGATCAAAACATGAGATGAGATTTTAATTATTTTTAGTGAGTACTTAAATGAATATAAATTTAAATTGCATTCCTAAGTATTTTTGGAGCTTTTTAATATATGTAGTTTCAAAATGACCAAAAGAGAGCATAAGGCATATACGAGTGTTGCTTGACTTCAAAAATAACTTCAGATGGATTGAGGTTAGTTGACTAAAAAAAGTTTATATTATTACTGATATAATATAGGTAGGAAACCCCTGATTTTTAGGAAAAAATTTATTTTGCTATTAGTATGTACGGTTAGTATTTATTATTGATATCAAACTATTAAGTTTTGTGATATGGTTGAATTAGCACATTTTTTATCGGAAAAGGATATGTTAATTTAATTTCATGATCACTTAGATTTTTTAAGGCATATTTTTCAGAAGCTTCCATCAATTTATATCATTTTACATAGGAAGACTGAAAAAAATTCAGGAGCAAGAGAAAACTCTCAAAACATTTCTGACTTAGCATACCTTTTCTTACCAAAATGACTCACAATGGAAATTCATTACCAAAATATGTACCTTTTTGTGGGAGAAAAGAGAAAGAAAAACCTTCAGTACCTT